GCTCTCAGGGAAAGACTAGCCAATGAGAGGTTGTTCTGGTGATGTAATGCTTGTTACTTTGATCTCTTTCAGGTATGATTGGGGAAGATGCTTTTCAGAGCATCAAACATAAATAAAATTTAACTCTTTCTCATATGACTAATTTTAGCATATAAGCCACCTGCAGTATTTCATACATGTGTTGCTTAGGATAGCCCTGAAATAGTTATGCAAAATCGTTAGAATAGAGAATTTTTGTTAAGCATTGACATCTTTACCCACTGGTACTTGCCAGTAGCTCCCCACTTTTCTTGAGAGATCACTTACTTCTATATCCTGATCCTTATGTAAATAGACAAAGAATATATTAACACTAGCCAGCAGCAGATAAGCTTTATTACTTCTTTCTTAGACACAGATACTTATGAATATCAAATCAAAAGGAATAGAAACCTAATATGTGTTTTCTAAAATCAGATTAATCACTCTGCCTCTCAAGACCATGTACAAAGTTTATCTTCATATCCATATACTTTATTTCAAAAACAAAAAAGATTGAAGCAAGTACTTGAATAATCAGGTGTGTTTACAACGATATTATAATCTTCTGCTTCATAAGTAATTTTTGGACTCCATTGATGCTACTAAATGCTTATTGATGTTCGGAGAAGCCCTAGCCCATGTTAGGTGAAGCCCCATTACCCCTTAATAGTCTAATTCTCTGAAAACTGATAGGCAGGACACGGTGAATGTATATTGGTTTCTACCACTAAAGTATGCAAAAATGCAGACACTGAGCTAAAAAATTTCAGGCAGATGTTATTTTATGCAGTATCTCATTCCCATTCCCTCCTCCTCCACCCAAACCTCACCTTTTGAGCTGAGCAAAGGAATGCAATAGTAAGCATGTTGTCTGTAAAACATAATTTGGAAGAGGAAGATTGTGATACCTGAGCAGACCGATGTGATATCTGATCTAACACCAGGAATAAAACGACTCAGCCTGCTGTGTAATTTGAAGTGTAAGATGTAGTTCAGAGATGATAGCTATGAGAACTCATAGTCAAAATGTAGGAAAATTAATATATTAGAATGTTTTCCTCTTCATTAATTTTTTTCTAGAATATCCTTCTAACACCTTGAGAAAACGAAGTTAATTTCTGGCACGTGAGCTGTTCTTTGGACTTTTCTACTTGTTCAGGTCATATAGTTGCATTGGGATGGAGTGAAATTAGGGAATTTTAGAGTATTTCTAAGCTGGCTGTGAACAATTTATCTACTATATAGGAGAGCAGCAAGTCACTGTAACTTCACTGAGCCACAGTTTCCTCATCTCTTAAAATGAAATAATCAAATATTAATTATTAAAACAATGTATACAATTATTGGCAACTAATTAATAGGTACTCAATTGATAGTAGCTATGCTTTTTACTATTTTTTCAGAGACAAATAGTATCAAAGCCACTTTACCTTTCAAAGTTAAAAACCAAACTATATAAAAATAATTTTATGCTCACAATAGATACTCCCTGATATAACAAATTGTATGCCACTTTTAAATTTTGAAAAAAATCATTTTGTTTTCCATTGAAGGTTCAATTAGCACTTGATTTTTACTTTCCCGTATTATTCAGTATTTTATTTTTATCTATTAATATTTCAACATTAGTGCTTTACAAATATGTGACTATGTTCTATTAGTATAAATGGCAGTAGTACTCTAGTAATAAAATAGAGGAGGAGGAGGAGAAGGAGGGGGAGGGGAAAAGGGAGGGGGAGGAGAAGGGGGAGGGGAAAGAGTGTAAATGTTTCTTCTAAAGACCTGCCACGTTTTAAAGGCGTTGCTTCTTCGATGCTTGAGGAAAGGTCTTAGGGGGCATTTTTTAGGCCATTAAGTCAGCTTATTGAAAAGTGGAAAATGCAGTTTATCACCCTCAAGCAAAATGAGTAGCTTGAGTTTTTCAGTAAGTTAGCTTAAACTAAATTGATATTGTTTATATCCAGTCAAAAACACTGACACATTTCTGCAAATTGGTTTTAGATTTTTAAGTAAGGGAAATTTAAGTTCACTTTCTCAGAATTTGCTGAGTCCCTAACCTGTGCATGGAGACATTCTAAGATTAAAAACAACCACCACAATGACTTGGCTGCTGCCTTCTAGGTGCTGGTATCTAGTTAAGGGAAGAGATAGTACAGTGTATTATTTTCCATAATGGTGGTAGGTGTCAAATATTGGAAATATACATGGTGGAACTTACTTTTTTTAATATGTTTTTTATTGTACTTTAGATTTGGGGGTCATGTGCAGATCATGTAGGATTGTTGCTTAGATACATACATGGCAATGTGGTTTGCTGCCTCCATTCCCCTGTCACCTATATCTGGGATTTCTCCACATGTTATCCCTCCCCAACCTCCCTACCCCCCACTGTCCATCCCCTAATCCACCACCACAGACCCCAGCATGTGATGCTCCCCTACCAGTGTCCATGTGTTCTTACTGTTCAACACCTGCCTATGAGTGAGAACATGTGGTGTTTGATTTTCTGTTCTTGTGTCAGTTTGCTGAGAATGATGGTTTTCAGGTTCGTCCATGTCCCCACAAAGGACATGAATTCATAGTTTTTTATGGCTGCATAGTATTCTATGGTATATATGTGCCACATTTTTCTTGTCCAGTCTATCATCGATGGACATTTGGGTTGGTTCCAGGTCTTTGCTATTGTAAACAGTACTGCAATCAACATACGTATGCATGTGTCTTTATAATAGAACGATTTATAATCCTCTGGGTATGTACCCAGTAATGGGATTGCTGGGTCAAATGGAATTTCTGTTTCTAGGTCCTTGAGGAATCGCCACACTGTCTTCCACAATGGCTGAACTAATTTACACTCTGTGGTGGGACTTTAAATTCAACACTGGAGGAGTGAGTTTTTCAGGAAAATGATAGGTGACATTTCACTGGCTTTCAGAAAATAGTGAGTTTTTGTTTGAATCAGGTGGAATAATGATCCAAGTAGAAGGAACAGTTAGAGCAAAGGAAGAAAGGACTAAAAAATTCATAGCTATTTATTGATTGGCTATTGACCCAGTCTAATGTTTCTGCAGAATAGAATGCACTGGATGGAAATGTAGCAATGGAAAGGATGTGCTTTCTGTCTAGAGGATGTTTGTAAAAGTGAAATACTACCTTCCAAATCACATTATTCTTATCTTTTCTTTATAACATTACCTCAGGAAATTCATGACACATGTTAACTATATATGTTTGTGATGTATTTACGCTTATTGGACCTTTCTTGAAGTAGAGCAATATTATTCCTTTTCTTTTCCTATGATTTAAGAAATTATTACAATGTACTATTCACTTCAAATAAAGTAAAGGTGGATTCCACAAATCATCTTTCAAAAGGGTGACATAAGTTGTGCAAAAATAATACTAAAGATACAGGCAACATCTATAGATTTTAATTCATGCAGAAGCCTATATGAGCTAACTTGTAAAAGGCAATACATCTGGGTAGCATGTGGTTAATAATGTCAGATTATACATTAAAGAAATATTGTCTATGCTAATGTTTTACTAACAGTAATCTGGAAAAAATTCATTGCTTTTATTCACACAATAAAGCACCAAACCATCAAGCAAATGAATGCATCAAGTCATTCACCTTTAATACTGTGGGTTTGAAAACACTGTTTGTTTGTTTGTCTGTTTTGTTTGTTTTTGAGATGGAGTCTCACTGTCACCCAGGCTGGAGTGCAGTGGTGCGATCTCGGCTTACTGCGACTTCTGCCTCCTGAGTTCAAGCAATTCTCCTGCCTCAGCCTTCTGAGTAGTTGGGATTGCAGGCGCATGCCACCACACCCAGCTAATTTTGGTATTTTTAGTAGAGATGGGGTTTCACCATGTTGGTCAGGCAGGTCTCAAACTCCTGACCTCGTGATCCACCCGCCTTAGCCTCCTGAAGTGCTGGGATTACAGGCGTGAGCCACCACACGCAGCCTGACAACATTCTTAAATAAAACTTGCTGAAAGTTATCTGCCATTTTCTTTAAGTGTACAATTCTCTATGACTTATGGTGGGATTACATCCCAGTCATCCTAAGTTGAAAATATCATCAGGTCAAAATGCATTTAATATGCCAAACATCATATCTTAGTCTACGCTATCATAAACATGCTCAGAACACGTGCATTAGCCTGTATTTGGACAAATCATTTTGGAATGCAGTACATTGTAGAGTATTGGTTGATCATGGTTTCATTCACCTTTGTGATCTCATGGCTGACTGGAAGCTTTGGCTTACTACCACTACTCAGCATCTTGAGAAGTATTGTATTACATATCACTAGCTAAGAGAAAGATCAAGATTCAAAATTTGAAGTATAGTTCCCACTGAATCTGTATTGTTTTTGCACAGTTGAAAAATCAAAAAATTATAAGACAAATCGTTGCAAGCTGGGGAGCATCTGTATTCACTGAATAAGTTTTTGTGCCTCTGAATAGGACTATGTATATGTATTTCTAATTCAAGTATATTTAGTGATATTTATTAGACTTGAACTGAACTGTAATATCTATACATACATTGTTTTATTGTTGTAAAAGGAATAATTCTATTTAATAAATGGCATTTGCTGAACTTTCTATATTCCATGTCTCTTTTGTGACCAGTATCATGTATTTTAGAATTAGTTAACTAGAATTACAGGTTACTGGGTAAATCATAGGTTTCATTATGTAAAACAAACTGAGCTGCATGGAGCTCGAACTTACAGTATTGGCCCATTGTGGTCTTTCTGTCCACCTTAGATGTCTTTCACAGAAATATTTGTCTAAGTGAGCATGTGTGTGTGTATGTGTGTCGCTGTTTATTACAGCCTACTTGATTCTTAAAAAAATGATTAGTATGTGTAATGAAGAAAGAGCCACTATATCAGCATGTTTAAAAATATGAAAATCTCAGATAAATTTTAAAATAAAGAATATTCTGTTTTTTTTCCCCCATCAGCTGTTAAGAAGAAAGCTGGCTTTATCACTCCAGTTCCAGGAGGTGTGGGACCCGTGACAGTGGCAATGCTTCTGAAGAACACCCTTCTGGCAGCTCAAAAAATCATTTACTAGATCACGTGAAAGGATAAAGCAAACTGAAGTCATGCTATTTCTTTATTTGATGAAGGGTAAAACCTTTATATTTTACTACAAAGCTATTTATTTCTACATGGTATTTATTTTTTCATTGATGGAATCATTGTGGATCAAATGATTCACACAATTTTATGCATTTCCTGCTAATTGATTTTGAGTTTTAAGAAAGAAAACAATTCCAATGAAAATTTTGGTAACAATTTTTTATTTTGAGGATATTTGTTCATAATGTTAAAACAATAAAGGGCTCATAATAAATATATTTTTGACACAATTAAATATCTCATATCTCGTATACTATGTTTTCAACAAATGTCCTGTCAGCCAAATGGGCACCCATATAAAATGTAACGTCGGTTTTGCTGTTTGCATGCTCACATTTTTAAGGTATTTTATGATCTAAGTCAATGATGAAAAAGAGCTTGCTTACTACAAGAAAAATGGAATATTGAAAACAGAATCTTGATCTCAAATATCCCCCAAATGCATTCTATAAAACCATCCTAATGAGAAATTATGTCCTATTTAAGGAATGGAAAATATTTCAGGAAGACAATCAATGCACTATTTGGAAGAGTAATGATTATATTACATTATGAATGACTACTTGTCACAGTAAAAATACATAAAGAATGTGTTAGGTTTAAATGTCATTTCTTTCTTCTTCTAAAAGATATTTGGATAGTACCTTCACTGAGCAATATCAGAAAAGTTAAAAAATAAGTAAACAGATAAAACTAAGGTTGTATTTTCCCACAACTGTAGTACGAATGAGGTCATATTAAAGAACAGCAACTGTTCATGTTTGTTCACAAATTCAGAAATCTAATAGGAAAACATGATACTTTGAATGTAACCTTAGTATACAACTGGAAATCTCCTGGTTTCTCGCCCTCGTCTTCCCTTTTTTGTTGTAGCATTTGTTCCTCAAATGAGATGCAACATTTCTAACACAGTATAAATTAGGAAATACTATTTTAAATTAGGAAACTCTATTTTGAGACTGCTAAAGCTGTTTAACTGATACTGTGTTTCTATGCCCAAATCCCAGTATATTTATATACAAATAATGATTCTCACCCAGCGCATGTCTTTATCAGTGTGTACTCTTGACGATTTGTGTGAAAATAGACTAGTTGTTTATAATTAATAACATTGCAACTGTGTAATAAAAGCAATGTGAATAAATGCCGTATTCTTTTTTCTTAAGATAGCTGTAAATTTCTTACTCATTTCCTTACTACATCCTAGAGAAATGCACAAGTTTCTGAAACGTGAAAGAACATGTTATATAGCATATTCCACAGTCAAGTCAGACCAATTGTTGTCTGATAATCCTGACAGAAGTTTAAATTTAAAGCTCCCAAGCTAACATTCAGAGATGGCCTCTTTAATTTTTAAGGATCCCTAACTCCCAAAACAAATAAAGTGATTAAAATACATGCATGTGGAAAATGTGAAGACTGTAATTTTGAGCTCTACCCCAAGAGTGATGCAGGAAGGGTTGCTTTGGAATAACATTCAGAATTCAGACTTCCCGGAAACTAATTAAAACACTGTAGAAGAAAAATTACTCTAATACTTGTTTAAAATAGTCAAGATGTTAAGACTATTGCAATGGATGAAAGAGACTGAACTAACTCTAAATGCAACACAGACAGCTAGGGATATATAGCCAATGAGCAGAGCTAGGGGGTTGCTGGATGGAAAATTACTAAGAGGAACTTTAGATATTCAAGGTAGGGGGATTCTCACTAAACTGGTTTGTCAGGATGCTTCATAACAGCAGGCCAAAGCCTTAGCTTTCAAAGGCAGGGGATCAGAACTTAGATTAAGTAGCATGCATGGGGGACTCTCCATAAACTGACTTAGCAGGATTCTTTGCTAAAACTGGGCTCGATGGGTCCAGGTCAAGACCTGGTCAGGGAGAGAGCTCAGAGAAGTCCAAGATTTGGTGAAGGAGGGAGTTTTTTCAACATATTAGAGAGGTAAAGTCAGTTTATTGGGACCATAACTTTACAGGTATTTGGGACCCCTGTAAGAGGGGTCCCACTATATTGCCTGTAAAAGACAGACATGTTGACCTGGAGGAGCTTAGAGATGGTTTTCTTCCCCTGCTATATCTGTATCTGTAAAGTATGTGTAAACAGCACCCTAAAGAATGTAATAAAGTTACAGAAATAAGAATGAGCTTAGCATATGTGTATGAAAGCAAGGGTTGCAACTGGACAAAAATGAAAGGTTTGTTTTGGAGAGTGGTACAGATGGATAAGTGTGCAAAAATACACTAGAGGAGTGGATACATCAGAATTTGGCAGTATTTAGTAAGTTACGAGGTCAGAAGATGTTATTGACTAACATAAGGAAATTGTAAAAGGGAGCTGACTTTGAAGGAGAGATATGTTCAGTTTAAAACATGTTAAGTTTGAGGTGATGACATAATACATTCATAAGAATTTCAAAATAATATCAGTCTAGAAAGAGGATAAGAATTCATGCTTAATGATAAGAGTTTACGACTCATCAGCATATATTAACACACTAAATTCCTGGCTTTTTTGGTAACCATTATACACACCCTGTGTCTTTCTACACTTTCTCAGTAGTAACAACTATCCTTAACTGAGCACCTATCATGTGCTAAATACTTTCCTCTTTTGTTTTCATACATATATATATATATATGTATGATCTCGCTCTGTTTCCCAGGCTGGAGTACAGTGATGTGATCACTGCTCACTGCAGCCTCCACCTCTGAGGCTCAAGCAATCCTCCCTCAGCCTCTGGAGTAACTGGGACTGCAGGCCAGTGCTGCCACCATGCCTGGCAGTTAGCTAGTTTTTCATTTTTTGTAGAGGGGTCCCACTATATTGCCTAAACTGGTCTTGAACTCCTGGGCTCAAGCAATCCTCCCTACTTGGCCTTTCAAAGTGCCATTTTTTTTTTTTTGGTCTTTCCTCATTATTGACAATCTCCTTTTGATAGATGAGAAAATTATTGACCCTCCTGGTTATTAAAAAGCCTCAGCTAAGGCCAAATGTATAGAAAAGGGGGAATATGAATTCACAGCAAGGTTTGTTGGGATGACTGAGTCAGAAGCCCCTCTTTTTACTACTCCACTCTGCCTTCCCTCGGATCTCACCTCCAAGTCTATTCTCTTATCAATATGTGTCTAAATCCTACTTGTTATTTAAGATTCACTTCAAATGAAACTTGTCCATGAAAAATGCCAGCCCTTAGCTCTCAGAGCCCTTCATGCACATACTAATGGCAGTTACCACTCCCTGCCTATACTGTAGTTAGGTATGTACTTGGCTTGGATCCCTTTAGTTCCTTGAAGCCAGAATCCATGCATGATTTATCTGTTTGTCTCACAAACATCATCTCACCCAGCCCAATGTCATGGATATAGTAGTCATTCAATATTTAATGAACGAATACAACTGAATCCATGAAAGTGACAGGATAAACTTAGAGAGACAATCAATGCACCGATCACCATTCCCTGCCAATGCCCAGCAATAAATTGTGGCTGAGTTAGTGAAACAGCAAGGAAAAAAAGAAAGGGAAGGGAAGAGCAAACTCAGAGATTCTCTCTTCCAGAACAAACTTCTGGAAGAGTGAGATAAGTAGATTGAAAAGACCAGAAAAGTGGCATAAGGGAAAATTAATAGTGGAGCTCTTAGCCTCTCACTTCCTTCTTTCTCACCCTAACCTGATTTAATGCATATTAAGAATGAATAAAGGTATCAGACAAGCCACCTCACAGTATCCATCTCCCTATTCTTTAGGATTTGGAGAAAGGACTTTTAGGCAAGAGGATCGAAGATGTGAAGGGAGAGGACTTTCCTGTAAAGATTGTAAGTGGGAGCCATGAATATGGGCCCCAGAGGAAAGGCAGCATATTTGATGACTTAGAGTTACTTTCTGGTATAAACCATAAGCTAAAGTGGAAGAGGGATTTCTACATTAAGTGGGCCAATTTACCAGAAAGGCTGCAGTTCCGTCTCTCAGCCCAGATGCAAGTGAAAATCACAGTTTATTAAGTATTTTGTTTTTCTAATAAAGGTAACTTTATTAAAGTTTGATTTTAGGAGATAATTAAGGGAATTCTTTGGTGATCAGTACAACAGCTCCTACAAGAGGACACAACTAGGGAAATGGAAACAGCATATGATGTGGAATCTGAAAATATAGAATTGGACTCCTTTTTTTTGCTTTTGTTTTTGTTTTGTTTTGTTTGAGACAGGGTCTGTAGCCCAGGCCAGGGTGCAGTGGTGTGATCACGGCTCATTGCAGCCTTGACCTCCCAGGCTCAAGTGATCCTCCTGCCTCTGCCTCTTAAGTAACTCAGACTACCATGTACAGCTAATTTAATTTTTGTAGTGTCAGGGTCTTGCTCTGTTTCCCAGGCTGGTCTCAAACTCCTGGGCTCAAGCAATCCTCCCACCTCAGCTTCCAAAAGTGCTGAGATTACAGATATGAGCCACCACACCTGGCCGGGATTGAAATCCTGACTCTAAGCATGTACATTGGCAAGTCACTTAATTATTTTGAGCCTCAAAAAATTTGTCATTTATCATGTGAGAATAGAAATAATACCTGTTAATTATTTCCTTATTCACTGAAGACAGATTCATGAAGTATTTACTAGATGTTAGGCCCTGGATTTGTTTGGGCCAGGGTTCCTGAAGAATTAAGACATGTAGGGAAACCTATAAAGGGCAAAGGACTGTCCTAGTTACACTTAGGAGTTTTTACAAAGATGATCTTTGTACTTTGATATCTCAGTCTTAGAAACAAAGTATTTAATATGAGTTCTAACATCTCCCTCCAGAAATTACAAAAAGAATTGTGATGGTTTATTTAATCTTTTGTAAATGATTTATTCTTAAATTCTCAGCAATGGTTCAAAGAAGATTGTTCAACTTATAATTCATATGTTATTTGCCTGGGAAATGTATTGTCCAGAAATTGACTTAGTAATGAACAGTTTTTTAAAAACCCACAAAAGTAGAAATGCAAAATGTAGGCACATTTAAAGTGAGTCAAGTACTATTATATTATTTTAACTTTAAAATGATGACTCCTGTGGTAAGTGATTGCCCAAGGTATAATGAGTTCAACAAGTTCGTTCTTGTGTGATTTCTAACACCACATTTATATTCAAATACTTAAAGGACTCCTTTCTGGTAAATCTAATTTGCTGAGTGGACATGATGCAAAAGATGACCTATCTTGGCTTGAATATCTTCTTAGGGTTTTGAGGTTTCAGGTTTCAAGAAAATATAAGCAATTGAAATTCCAGGTAGAAAGACTCAATGCCTCAGGAAGATATATTTATAAATTATTTATAGTAATTTGGGGCAAGTGAAAATGTCTGTAGTTGTAAAATATTGTAGGTGTAATTACATGTTTTGGCCTTTAAAGTGCCACTTTAATAATTACAACTAGATGAACATTAAGAAAAAATTTGGATGTTCTATTAACTTAAAAAATTTTCTGTTCATTAGATGTATCCAAACTAAATGTCATCTTAATTTTCTTTTAATGGAGAATTTTAATATTATTATTATTGATGTTTTATTATGTTGGTACTTTACTGGTTCTCTGTAGCTTAATCATTGGGACGCAGATTTAAGCACTGTTGTTCCTGGAATACGGTAGCCCATTTTGTTCACTCAGAAAAATGTTAAATAGCAGAATGGCAGAAAGATAAATGTTGTACTATTAAACATAATTTTATTTATAACACTTGTCATAGTAAAACTCAGAAGCAAACACTAAAATGGAGTATGAAACTTCTGTGTTTTCACAAATTTAACTGTTCTCTGCAACTAAATTAACACATGATCTTGATTCAAAATGGAACTTCTGTAACGAAAGGTGGTGTAACTATCCATAGTTTCAGGGTTATTTCTTTTAGAAACAGGTTATGCTGCTTCCTAATTTGCAGTTATGTTTGTTGGACTCTTGTATAGGTATAGCTAGCATCATTTGAGCTGGTATATTTCTCTTCACACCAATGGATGCCTTTCCTGAAATCACAGTTTGTTGATGTTCTTTTAAGTACTTTTACATACATGATTATGCCCACAGGTAACAGGAAACCAGGGTTTCAAAAGAAAACTTGATCACGTTGCTAGATAAAACAGGCATCCTAAACAAGTGTGTGAATGCCCAGAGGCTTTCTGCTGCTGCCAGAAGTACATACTTTTTTGATTGGTAAGAACTGCCAGATGACGCTTCATGAAATATAAATGCAACAAAGACTCAGAGAGCTCAATAAAAACCTTCCACCCGTCAGTCTGGAAGGATAAGAGAAAGAAAGTTAAGCAACTACAGGAAATGGCTTTGGGAGTCCCAATATCAGTCTATCTTTTGTTCAATGGTAGGTGATTTCCTTTTGTTAACTTTGCATCACTGTAAAATGTGAATAGGATTTATTTTCTCTACATTAGAGAGAAGGTGGCTTCTAACAGTTTTGCTTTATGATAAAGATCAGAGCAAAGAATCTGTGGATTAATTTAGTTTTTTATGTTCTGTATGTTCCTCTCCTAATATATTTTGACACCTCTTTTTTGAGACCTCCAGAATGTTTGCTTTATACAATTGAAGAATAATTGATACATTTAGCTACTATACTATAGTGTTCTTAGTTTTGAATTAGTATGTAAATGTATTAACCGTCTTAAAAATTGTGTTTTTATTGGCTATAATCCTAATATAGTCAATGGAATGGATGAGACACTATAAGGATATTGCCCTAGTCACATTGTGGATTTCAGCTGTAATAAATTAAAAGCAAAATGGAAATAGGAATAAACAGAATAAGAATATTTTCCATCTGTTGCTTGTACATAGAAGGAGGCTCTCTGTTAAAGATGCTTTTGCCCCCTTAATACAGCAATGACAGCACTGACTGAAGAGGCAGCCGTGACTGTAACACCTCCAATCACAGCCCAGCAAGGTAACTGGACAGTTAACAAAACAGAAGGTATTTTCTTCCCATTTTTGTATTTCACAAGACTTTTCTAAAAATTGGAAGATAAAAGCAATATTGCTCATTTTTAAATATATATAATATTATTAAATAATCAACTCTTTTAGCAGAATGCTGTTAAATTGAAGTGACAGATAAATGTGCCAGAAAATAATTGCCTTTTTAAAAGGAGGAAGTGAAGCAAGTGAGACAAAAGCTGTTTTCAGTTAATGTCCTGAACATGAAACAGGTCACATTTTCTGCTTCATTTCTTCTTGGTTCCCAGTAACCCCTGTGTGTTCAGAGGCAGTTTGTCCCCATTTTGGCATTCTTGATGAGCGACATTATATTTTGATCTGTGATTATAAGCTTTGCTGCCAAAGACATTATGGCTACAAGAAGAAAAGCACTTTCCCTCATCTTTGGAATGATCTTTTTTCTTGTTTGCTTTGGGGCTTTTGTTGTTATTTTAGCGTATGCTATATATCCTAACCACTTGTACTCAATTTTTGTTGTTGATAGTGATGATATATTTTCTTTTGTATTTTACTATTATCAAAGTGGCTTCTGGATGCTCTTGAGCATCAGCGTTCTTTTTCAAATCTGTTTAAACTCTTAGAGGTGAAACTTGGAAAGCTTGTTGCTTACCACGACCTGTGACTGAGTCATTATTATTGTTCTGCAAATCGCATCCTGATCACTATGTGGAGGCTGGGAATGTGATTTAGGGCAGGGGAAACAATGTCAGGCAAATAAAAGAAGATTGTCATATCTCATTGTTCTTCCTTTCACCAATAATTCAGAACTTTAAGTGATTATCTCAAAATATTTTACCCATTTGATTTTTTGAATATCTGTCGATTTGCCCAATGAAATCAATGTGGGTTTTAGAATAACTTATAGCCAACTACTTGTCTTCTAAGCCTTTGAACAAAGAGAAAACATCTTATTAGAATATAATATACTGGCATGGCATAGTGGCTCATGCTTGTAATCTCAGTACTTTGGAAGGCCAAGATGGACGGATCATCTGAGGTGAGGAGTTTAAGACCAGCCTGGCCAACATGGTAAAGCCCTGTCTGTACTAAAAATACAAAAATTAGCTGGGTGTGATCGTGCACACCTGTAATCCCAGCTACTTAGGAAGCTAATGAAGGAGAATTACTTGAACCCAGGAGGTGGAGGTTGCAGTGAGCTGAGATTGGGCCATTGCACTCCACCCTGGGTGACAGAGCAAGACTGCATTTCAAAAAAAAAAAAAAAAAACAAAACACCAAAAAAAACCCAACAAAACCATATATATATTTATATGTGTGTGTGTGTGTGTGTGTGTGTATATGTGTGTATATATGTATATATATGTGTATATATGTATATATGTGTGTGTATATATATATATATATATATGATACACTGCAGAAAATTAAAGAAGCTTAGTTTTCTCTCAATGACTAACTTCCTAATGACATGCTCAGTACTATTTTTCTTCCTTAATGGTAAACCGCAAGTAAAATTTTTTGAGTTACAAGTAATAACAATGAAAAAAAGGAAGTCAATACAGTCATGCTTCGTTTTCCACTGGGGCATTGGTTCGACCTCCACCTCCTGCCCAGAGGGAACCAAAATCCACAGATGCTCAAATCCTTTATATAAAATAGCATAATATTTGTGTATAACCTATAGACACATACCCATGTACTTTAAATCATCTCTTGATTAGTTATGCCTAAGCATTGTAAGCACTATAGAAACAGTTCTTATACTGCATTGTTCAGGGAATAACGACAATAAAAAGTCTGTACATCTTAAGTACACATGCATTTTTCAAATATTTTCCATATAAGGTTGGTTGAAACCATGGATGTGGAACCTATGAATATAGAAGCACAACTGTATATCATTTCTATATTTTTCCTTTGCTTTCTTGATGGATAACTTTAATTTTCCTTTTGCTTTTTATCTAACTTAAAAATCTCAATCTAGTATCTTAGAAAAATTTTTATAAAAGTTATGATTAATCTTCTCATTCTTCTCATTCTTAGGGGAAAGATAAGTCTCTTTGGTATACCTTTTCTTTATAATGGCTTAATTCTCACATTTTTCTTTTTTTTTCTTTTTCTTTTCTTTCTCTTTTTTTTTTTTTTTTTGAGACGGAGTTTCGCTCTTGTTACCCAGGCTGGAGTGCAATGGCGTGATCTCGGCTCACCACAACCTCTGCCTCTGGGGTTCAGGCAATTCTCCTGCCTCAGCCTCCTGAGTAGCTGGGATTACAGGCACGCGCCACCATGCCCAGCTAATTTTTTGCACCTTTAGTAGAGACGGGGTTTCACCATGTTGACCAGGATGGTCTCAATCTCTTGACCTCGTGATCCACCCACCTCGGCCTCCCAAAGTGCTGGGGTTACAGGCTTGAGCCACTGCGCCCAGCCTAATTCTCACATTTTTCTAGCAAATTCTGTTTAGGGCTTAGTTAATCGAACTTGTTTACTCTTGAAATAGAAAGCACCCAGCACAGTTTATAATGGAAAATTCTCACTGCCTGATAATTATTAAAATGATACATTATATCATCACATTCTACAAAATGAACATGAATTTTAAGGTAATGTGTGTTCTCAACCAAAATAAAGCAATACAATATATCTTGTTTGTAATCTTAACATCTACATATTTAGTATTTTTAATATAAAAAAAGAATGCCTTTTGAAACCGTTTTTTTTTTTCTACACACAAGATTCTCTTAATGCTAGAAAGGCAAATATAGTATAGCTTTATAATTATGATGAGGAAATACATTCTTTCTAAAAATGACAAACAAAATGGCATTAATTCTGTTTGAGAAAAATTTAAGAATCAATAAAGTATACCCCAAAGGATTCAATTATGCAATTGTACCCAAGGCTCATTCCCACTGCATAAACAACAATAGTATAGGTATGTCTATTGTACATCAGAGAATCAGGAATAATAATCCTGTTTATTGTCTCACAGGTGTAAATTCAAATCTTCCCAAGTGCTGACTTCTCAGGTGTAAAGGGGGAAAATAGAAATATTATGAGATCATACACACACACACACACACAAACACACACACACAGGCGCATATGTTTTTGAGACATAGTTTCACTCTTGTCACCTAGGCTGGAGGGCAGTGGTGTGATCTTGGCTCACCGCAATCTCCACCTCCCTGGTTCAAGCAATTCTCCTGCTTCCCTCTCTCGAGTAGCTGGTACTACAGGCATGCACCATCATGCCCAGCTAACTTTTGTATTTTTTAGTAGAGACAGGGTTTCACCATGTTGGCCAGGCTGGTCTTGATCTCTTGACCTCGTGATCCGCCCACCTCGGCCTCCCAAAGTGCTGGATCTACAAGCGTAAGCCACTGAGCCCAGCCAAGATCTATATTAACTTGCATTCAGACACAAGTCTGGGAAGAATTGCTCAAAACAACCTAAGACTGGAACCAGTGCTGCCACCTTTTGGTGAATTTGTTGCCTTTCTATCTTACTATGTTGCTTTTAAAAAATGAAACAAATGATCCACCTCCATACCCTAATTAATATGACTAGATGATATTAACCCATCTCTTGTGAATACAATCTAAGAGAATTAATAGTTTAAAGGACACAGCACCTCTCAAATATCCTTAAAATTAAAATTTATTTACATATGTATAAAAAATTTACCATAAAAGTAAGACACACTTCATTTGTTAATATTGTATCTCCTTTTCTTAGCTGACAACATAGAAGGACCCATAGTTTTGAAGCTCTCACATGCTTGCCTGAAAGATCATAACAGCTACTGCATCAACGGTGCTTGTGCATTCCACCATGAGCTAGAGAAAGCTATCTGCAGGTAAATGCAAAGAAATTTCCAAGTCCTAGAGACAGGAGATGAGTTTATGCCTCTGTCGCTTTACATAGTACATGTCCACACTTTTCTGTCTTTAGTAAAAAGGGTGAATAATCTGAACATAACTCGACAGGCCTCTTCATATTTGAATATCTACGGAGTCTTTTGTCTACGCTATTTAATCCTCATTAACCAGAAACATGGTTTCCAGATTAGCAGCATCTCTTGAACCTGAGTGCTTGTTAGAAATGCAGAATCTATGCTCTACCCCAGAACTACTGAATCAAAATCTGCATTTTTAACAACATACAAAAGTGATTTTAAGTTTTGGGGTCATTTTCAGGATGATATGAAGCAAACTAACGCAAAACATTTCTGGAATATGAAGTTCTAGAGTAACTAAGATAATATTTTTATGATCATTGATTTGCTCAGTATTGTGCTATGGAAGAATAGGCTAATGATTTTTCTAGAATAAATTATGCAAGTATACTACCTTTTCCCTCTACCAATGAAGGGAAAATATGGGGCCTTAAGGATTACTGAAAAATTCATAGCTGCTTCATTGCCTTTAACACATTGGCTTTCATTTGGTGTTTCCTTCTTTAATTTAAATTCCTTATTTCCATTTATTTTTAAAATTTATTGAAACAGGGTATTTATTTGTATTTCTATCATCTTAGGTTTTTAAATTAAACTTTTTTTTTTATAGGTGTTTTACTGGTTATACTGGAGAAAGGTGTGAGCACTTGACTTTAACTTCATATGCTATGGATTCTTATGAAAAATACATTGCAATTGGGATTGGCGTTGGATTACTATTAAGTGGTTTTCTTGCTGTTTTTTACTGCTATATAAGAAAGAGGTATGAACAAGACAAAACGTTAAGTCACTTCATATACATTCATTTGACAAATATTTATTCAGCTCCTATAATGTGCCAGGCATTGACATGTAAAATTTTTTAATTAAAAAAGAACTATAAATCTGGCATGTTTCTATGAAATATATAAACCCAGATGAGTGGTAAAATTTATCTTCAATTGTAATAGGAGAGTTTAAAGTTACAATCTTCCTTCATCAAATCTCTGTTTGCCCACATCAAAATTATAAATGAGGAGGAGAGCAGACCCCAAGAAAGTAGGGACTAAATATGTGTTGTTCAAAATCATATATTCAGTGCCTTGCACTGTGCTTAGCACACAACAGACACTGGGTAAATATTTGGTTGAGGGAAATAAAATCAAGAAACAAGTAAAAACTGAATAAAAATGTGTGATAGTCGCTGGCCATTTCTTCCCAGACATCAACTGGGCATATCTTCAGAAGGTACAGTCTCCTGCTAAAAACCTAAGAAGATAAACTTGATCTACAAATAATTATAAATTATTTATGTATTAATTCTTATTTCTTGATTTCCCACATGAGGAATTTTTCCTCAAATCCATGTAACTAGGGTAAAGTCAAGAAATAAAGTGAGATATCCTAACACAAAAATAAAAACACATTATTGCCCTTGCTGCACTCTAATAAGTTATCATTTTTAAATGACTAAAACTACCTGTCAAAATTATAAAAGTTTGTTTTGCTTAACATATGCATCTTAGAGAGAATCAAATCTGTATTATATCAGTTGTAGATTTGCCTAAGAGACCTAAAAATAATAATAATAATGAGGGGGAGGAGGAGGTAAGACTTTTCTACATTACCAAGGTAGCTGTCTGAGGTCAGATTTCCTAGAAGCAGAGCCTTCAGATAGAGATTGCGGTGCGTGTGATTGATTGACAGAGTACTCTAAGGTAAAACCTGTAATAAAGTAAGGAAGGCAGATGGAGCACAAGAAGAAGCTAAGCAAAGATGTGGCTTTAACCAAAGTGTAGCCCTGGCCTTATTCCACAGAGAGATCGAGAATGTGAATAGCAGTGTAGACCTCTCCCAAGAAGATGAGGCATCTGATTTCAGTATCCCATATTATTCAATCCCAGATTCATGCGGGGTAGGGCACAGGGACTTGTGATCTCCCAGGAATCTCCTGGCAGAGCACTCTGTTAGCCGTGGGCAGACCTTGGAAGAAGACTGCCGTCGTGAGCCTGTTAATGCCCGCAGCTGCTGAGGGATGGGTTCACCGATGGGCCAAGGGGATCTGGATGGGACACCGAGAGCAACTGCTGTAGGTTGTATTTATGCATAAGCTTCAATGCCTGTATGAACCACAGTCAAATTCATATGGAAACCAATGTTCTGTTTCAGGTGTCTAAAATTGAAATCGCCCTACAATGTCTGTTCTGGAGGGAGACAACCACTGTGAGGCCTTTATAAAGAATTTTCATCAAGGTGTCTGCAGAGATCAGTGGGCTCAAAATTAAAGTTTTCAGATGAAACAACAAAACTTGTCAAGCTGACTAGACTTGAACATAATAAAAGGTGGGATCACAGTGAAATGAGGTGATGAAATTCAGCGTTGGTCTGTAGACTTTCCCGTCATGAAGAAGTGATGGAAGCCAAGTGAACAAGCTGCAGTGGCAGAAGTCAAGTTTATAGTTTCACTCTTTTGTTGTTGTTGTGTGGTTATTATTCTCACTACAGAAAGACTGAGTTTCATGCTCTTGGCTGTGTCAGGTATGAATTTTCATGGGACTAATAATCAACTTTGCAGCAAGCCAAAGCAATGCCTCATTTGGATTCTTCATGTTCTTACTACCCAGCGTTTTTTACCACCTAGATAGGCCTCTCTAAGTCTATTTGCTCAATGAACCTTATCCCAAACTTGTTTTCATGGTGGCTAAAAGAATGTGATGTCAGCTTTTAGAATGAAATCAGTGTTAAGGTACCTCCAGTGAACCAAACACGTGTCTTAAATCTAAGCCACTGAAAAGAGAATGGAATGTCCAAGGCAAATACAAATCATACACAGCTTGTGACAAACATACAGCCTTTATATGTGAAATATGGAATAAGCTAAAGAGTTTCTGAAGACTGAAGTTCTCTGGATATCAAGTCTGGAGTAGGCAAAGGATCTCCATTTCTACATAGATTATAAAACTTTGTGTTGGACTCATTGGTCCATATTGCTTTTGTTCATCCTTCCTCCAGTTATCTGTGGAATTACCTGGTAACCATTCATTTGGACAGAAATCCTTGAAGTCTCCTACCGAATAAAAGTTTACAATTGGCCCTAAAATAAAAACTGAAGAACAGAACATAGAAGTTTTTCACCAGCCCACAGCATGTGAAAACTTTATCATTTTTGAACACTTGTTAACAAATTTGCACATAGAGGGAGAGGAAAAAATGGAGTCACAGTTGAAACAACTAAGAATCAGTGTCCAGGCTGAGCGCGGTGGCTCACTTCGGTACTCCCAGCACTTTGGGAGGCCGAGGCAGATGAATCACCTGAAGTCAGGAGTTTGAGACCAGCCTGACCAACATGGTGAAACCCTGTCTCTACTAAATGCAAAAATCAGCTGGGCGTGGTGGCACTGGCCTGTAATCCCAGCTACTTGGGAGGCTGACTCAGGAAAATCTCTTGAACCCGAGACAGAGGTTGCAGTGACCCAAGATGGCACCCCTGCTCTCCAACCTGGGTGACAAGAGTGAAACTCCATCTCAAAAAAAAAAAAAAAAAAAAAAAAAATCAGTATCCTTCCTCTTAGTTTTATTTATGCCATTTAATTCGAATAGTCTTATGCAGGTTGCTCGATTTATCTGGGCTTTTGTTTCATTTTCGACAAGGCCCTTGCAGCTCTAAAACTTGACAATGAAAAGAAGAAAATGTTTTTCCAAATCTGTAGTGCCAGTGAAATCCTCAACATCAGCACATTGAGATGGATCTCAACCCCACCTCTAACCCTGAAACACACCACTGGATATTATCTTAGGTGTATATTTTAGTTTGTAAAATAATAATTTATTGTTAAAGGAAATATAAAATATTAAAGAGTAATAATAGCTGTCATTTTTTAAGGTTCAACTTAAAACAATGCCTTCTTTTTTTTTCCATTTGTGATGTAGATAAGCAAGACATTTTTGATCACGAGTGGTGAAAAGAGGATCAAACTTGACTATTTTTGCAATGGCAGTCCAGCAACAAGCCTTTCATTTACATTAAATTATAGTTTTTTATTCATTCTTAAACCAAACTTTAAATTCTGCTTTCCTTTGAGTAGAAGGTATTTAACTTGTTTTGTTTTTCCTTCAGAAGAAATTTAATGCAAATGGATTGCAGTCAGCACTTTCTGAATGTTTTCACACAGTATGCAAAGCTTACATCATACCAAGGAGTGGGGCAATGAAGTTTCCTCCCAGTGACTCCAGTGACAGACCACACCTAGAAAGCGATTCTCTTCCTGAGTATTTCAAAAAGATATAAAAGAACTGGGGAGAGTATGGGAAGAAACAATACAGGGTTGCTTGTAATTAACTAAGAACTGCCTCCTGACACAAGGAAAAAGAAATTAATGCTAGAGTCTGGAGGGGTGATAACCTTAAAAATTTTAAATATTTGTTGTCTACACTTGTAAATTATAAACACAATATAATTAAAATTAGAACATCAGAAAGAGAATTAAAATCCTCAAGTTGCAAAACCAAAATGTTAACTAAAACAAATTCTCACAGAGATTCAACTTTTTTCACCAATAGAATAGTACCTACTAACAACATAAAGCCCACCCTGTGAGACTGTAGAGAAACTGAATGTGGCTTACCATAACCATCTGTTTATGATATTTCTTTTCTCTCTCTCTCTCTTTTTTAAATTGAGATGGAGTCTTGCTCTCTCACCAGGCTGGAGTGTAGTGGCACAATCTCAGCTCAATGCAACCTCTGCCTTCTGGGTTCAAGCGATTCTCCTGCCTCAGCCTCCCGAGTAGCTGGGATTATAGGTGCACACCACCATGCCCAGTTAATTTTTGTATTTTTAGTAATTTTTGTATTTTTGTATTTTGTATTTTTAGTTGTACCATGCTGGCCAGGATGTCTCAATCTCTTGACCTTGTGATCTGCTTGCCTCGGCCTCCCAAAGTGCTGGGATTACAGGCGTGAGTCACCATGCCTGGCCCTAATATTTCATATAAAACAATCTTGTGATCCTTTAATTCCTACCATTAATTTCATAGGAAGAAATCTCTGATATTCCTACGAAGCTAGAGCCACATCTGGCAATATTAAGTACATAAGTAGAACTAGGGTAGGAAAATGCGTAAGAATGCAATATTTGCAAATCATTACATCTTTTTTTTTTTTTTTTTTTTTTTTTTTTTTACTATATGCAACAAGACCCTGAAAAGAGCCTACTGGTAAAGTTTGTCCTTCAGAACTGCACTTTCAGCTATCAATCAATGTATCATTAAGTCGGGGTGGATCATTTAGCAAACAAATGCCAACATGTTTCTGGCATCTTTAACTACATTACACTAGCCAAGGGGTTCATCAATTTTTTTCATTCCCCATTTTGTCTCCTCCCTTTGTCTGTCCTTAAATTATTTGAGAACACATCCTTAGTATAAATATTAATGAGTGCTGGGCCGGCTCGGTGGCTCAAGCCTGTAATCCCAGCACTTTGGGAGGCCGAGGCGGGTGGATCACGAGGTCAAGAGATCGAGACCATCCTGGTCAACATGGTGAAACCCCGTCTCTACTAAAAATACAAAAAAAAATGGCTGGGCATGGTGGCGCGTGCCTGTAATCCCAGCTACTCAGGAGGCTGAGGCAGGAGAATGGCCTGAGCCCAGGAGGCGGAGGTTGCGGTGAGCCGAGATCGTGCCATTGCACTCCAGCCTGGGTAACAAGAGCGAAACTCCGTTAAAAAAAAAAAAAAAAAATTAATGAGTGCTTTATTATTTAGCATTTCAGAGTATAATGAGGATGGGGCACACAATATAATCTCAACCATTCTGGAAGCCAGTAATTTTGCAAAGAGTAAAATTACTTGTCATCGTAGTCTCTTTCCTCAAAGTAGCTTTTTGTATAGTTGTGTTTTCATAAATTTTGAACAGGATGAAATTATAACATAGTTCATCTTTTAGTCTTTCCTGGCATAATGCAAATCTAATTATTTATTTATAACACATTCATTTCAGTGATGTCAAGATTTCCATTCATTATATTTAATTGAGAAAAAAGTCATAAGAAAATAACAAAACAAGCATCAGCAATTTAACTTTTGATATTAAACATGAGGACAACTTATCTATGCAGAGTACCATGCAGAAGCCATTTAATGGCTCTGCATTACAAAATGTAACATGCTTTCTGTGAAGTGATATAAATATTGATATCCTACAACCCATACTCATGGGAGGGGTTACCAAAATCCCTCTATTGCAAAACATCACTCTTCTTGATTACATCGTGGCTGCATGACATCAGGATGTGAGCAGCTGCCAAGATGAACTATAAATGTTGAAACTTAATTTGTCAGTGTCTAGCACTACTAATCTGGGTGAGCCCACATTTTTGTCCAAACCTTCGACTCAGACCTATTCCATAGCACATTCAGAAATGTCCCTTCTAAATTCTGCATTTTTATTATTTTATTTTATTTTATTTACTATTATTATTTTTTTTTTTGAGACGGAGTTTCACTCTTGTTACCCAGGCTTGAGTGCAATGGCACGATCTCGGCTCACCGCAACCTCCGCCTCCTGGGTTCAGGCAATTCTCCTGCCTCAGCCTCCTGAGTAGCTGGGATTATAGGCATGCGCCACCATGCCCAGCTAATTTTTTTTTTTTTTTTGTATTTTTAGTAGAGACGGGGTTTCACCATGTTGACCGGGATGGTCTCGATCTCTTGACCTTGTGATCCACCCACCTTGGCCTCCCAAAGTGCTGGGATTACAGGCTTGAGCCACCGCGCCTGGCTATTTTATTTTTATTAATTATTCAATCAAACAGTGCCCATCCAGCTCAGAGTATAAGCAGTTAATTGTCCAAAATTTTAAGGTTAGACCTCTTGAGAATATCCATGTGAATACATGTGTCCCATCATTTATTTTATTTGTCTTCTAAAACTAAACGTGATGAATGTTCCAGATTGTTGGCAACACCCACAGCTTCCAAAGAAACAGCTCATAAAGATTGGAAATGTGATTGTATGGTAAGAAGGAGAATTGAATTGTTCAGTCAGGTCTCATCTAAGTAACTCATGCCTTTCTTTGTCATTTTTATGTCCCGGATATTATTGGGGCATGAGTCATCCAGAGTAAAATTTGGTTAAGTCCACAGTCAACCAGCTTTCAAACAAGCAGTGTTACTGATGTTTAAAATGGTATTAATTAGGCTTCACATCTTTCCGAAAAAAGGCATCTCTACATCTTTAAAATCACACTAAAATATTGATTCAATATTAAGTTCCTTAACAAATCAAGTTGAAGCAATAATGTAATACAGTAACCATTTATGAGCACTTACAATGTTTGAAGCATTAATTGAATTATTTTAATTAATCCACGCTTGTGTGCAATTGAGGCTTAGAGAAGACAATCACTTGTTCAAGATCACAGGGACTGAGCCTCAACCAGATGCACCTGATGTCAGAGATCTTCATCTAACATCTAAGCATTATCATATGATAATGCTTCCCAATATTTTATGAAAAAATTAGAGTTAGGGGGGTTAATTTCTTGGTGAACTTAAAGATATGCCCAAGTGATTAGTATGCAATTGAAGAAAGTTCTTTTCTTAAAATATACAAAATAATAATCTTTGTCATGGATCAATCACAAAAATACTCTGCTGTCATCTGCAAATTATTAAGACATGTATAACATCATCAGGGTGGAGTCAGATCAATGTCAAGTGCCTGCTGACAGTTGAGTGCACATCTAGGAGAGACTGTATACTGTAAAGGGACGCTGGCTTGTCCTCATGACTCAAGGAATGAGGAGTATTCTCTTAGAGTACCCTCTTGGAATAGTGAGAACATTCTACTCTAGCCTGTACCCAATATTCCTAGAGAATATTGGAAATAATCTAATCCAGCCTGTAACCCTTGGCTACAGGCTATTTCCCAATATTTCTTAGCTTTATGGAGACATACCTGACTCAGGTTGTTTATGTGATGAGGAATGAGGAATCCAAGTGTCTTTCATGTCTGCAGTAAAATCTCATCAATGCCCTTCTCTACATTATCCTCAATCCTACCTCAGTCCCACATGCACCTTGCAGAAAAGCAGTAAGTAGTGGTGGTTCAGCTTAGGAAAAAAATTGCAAAGTAACATTTTTTAAAAATCTGTGCAATAGTTTGTTATTAAATGACCTGTATGCCAGTCCAGCTGTGTGATTTGAACTTTACTGGGATCCTTTAGATGCGATATCTTTACCTGTTAAGTGGAAAATTAGACTCTAAAGATGACTTCCACATTCCCTTCCTGGTTGGAAGTTGTACATTGGAAATGTGAGGCCTATAAGCAGATCCAGTCCACAGACGTATTTCCTGTGGCTTTCATGATGTTTGTTTTAAATTAAGTCCACATTTTAAAACCAACCTGTTTTACTATTTGTAAAAATCCAGCTTCTTTTGAAAAATAAAAGATACAGAGCTCTAGACCTATTTTCTTTAGGCCAGTGCTCCATATCTTCTGTAACTTTGGTTAGAAGGAGCATGCCTTAATACTCAACTGCGGTTGATGCTTAGGCTGCCATTACAGGGTCCAAGGGCCTTTGAGTCTGCAAACTTGCTGCCTTGGTTTAATTTTAATCTTTCCTCATGTCAATTTCCGTAAAATCTAATCATCAGGCTGCCTGTAGAGGGCCCCATTGTACTGCAAACCTCATAAACCATAAAGGACTCTCAGTTCAAAGAGTTGCCCAGGAATGTGCTTATTAGGAAAACCCACATTCACCTAGAAGCCGGCAGGGGTGGCATCTGGTGACTCAGGCACTGCCCTGCCCACACCTTCAGTCACTCTCTGCTGTAATCCTTGCCAGATCTGTCTTTTCACTGCACAGCCTTGCTTATGTTGCCTCCCAGCTCAAGAACTAACACTGACTCCTCGTTGTGCACTACGTTTAGAAAGGATGGCTCAGCCTGCAGTATGAAACCCTCTCCAGGGAGGCTCCAGTGGTCTGCCTTTCTCATCCCCACCTGTCCTATGCATATCATCAGCTGTGGCCAACAGCTGCTTTATGCTCTGCAAATGGGCCACATAATCCCCCTCTGTGTTTTATGGTCTCCGCTGATCCTGCCACATGTATTACCCTCCCTCATCTCTGTCTGTCAAGATCACATTTTTTAAAAAAATGCTGTCCCCTCCTTGAAGAACGGTTTTCTTTACAAATGTCATTTCCTCTTCTTTTGAATTTCCTTGACATCTTTCTTTCTTTTTTCTTTTTTTGTACTTTTTAAATACATTCTTCCTTGTATTATAAGTTACTTATGTTCTTGGCTAAGTTCTAATAGTAGTCAAAATAATGGACTTTATTTATCAAATTCATATCATGGACTGGGCA